GATTTACAGCCTCAGAAACCCTGTACAGGGTCGCTATGAGTCAGAACCGACTCCACGGCACATAACCACCAACCACCTTTAGACACATGTTAACATGGGTGACAGGGCAGGCAATATACAAGAGGGAGGTCAGCAAAGGACAGATGAAGATGAAAGGTCTGGGGAGACACAGAGAGGAATGCAATAGTCCAAGTAAATAGCGATAAATGCCGTTAACTCTTAGTACACGGAGGGGATTACAACCAGGTAATGAAGCAAAGTTTATGATTTGTTGAAGGCAAAACTGATAATCTGCTCTGTAAACCTTCACTCAATTCACAATTTAAAAAATAAAAAGAGAACTAAATTCTCCGAGAAACTCTTCAAATTCTCCTTGAGTTTACAACAATGACAGCAACAGAAAAGAGGAGCTGCTGACGTTGCTTACGTACAACCAAACACTCCGTGGGATTTAGATTCAGAGTCATGGTTTCACAGGCTAATTCTCCCTCCCAAGTTTGATGCCTACTACCTGGGGCCTGAAAAACTAAGACGTAGCCATCCGAGGCACATGCAGTGGTTTCCTTTCACTGGGAGCAACAAAAGGAGGAAGAGCCCGGACCAGGAGAAAGAGCTGGAACATGTGGGTCACTGCCTCCTCGAGCCGTGAGCCCAGGAGAACGGGACACTGAACATTTTGATCAAAGATTCCTTAAGAGAATCCTGGAAATGGAGAACAGAATTCCAAATTCTCATGGAATTCACGTTTTCTGGAGCAGCAGAGGCTGGATGAGTTCTCAAAACTAATGCTTTGAGATCCCCTTCAAACCTTACACCACAAATATCCCCTGAAGTCAACCGAACAATAGCTTAGGTTACCTCAGAAGAGTGTCTGCCTTGAGCATTATTATGCTCTTGTAAGAACTATTTAGACAGAACCAAATTCACAACGGCAATCTGAAAAATAGATAGAAACCTGAGAGGGGATTAAATTTCTGTTCATGGAGGAAGAGCTACTCAGAAAAGGAGGGTAAGGATGGCTACCAACCCCCAAAATGCCAGCATCAGAGGCGCTCAATGGGACGTGTAAACACTGATGAACTGGCAGATGTTCCACGGCGTACGTGCTCAACAACAATGCATTTTTTTCCAATCATCTCTACGAACAATAGTTACTCTAAAGCACGTAAGGGTACAAGAAAACGCAGTTACTGGAAGCAAAACATCCAGGGGAGGACTAGTGAGAAGAACATCCAACATCACTGTATAATCTATGGAATCATTGCTAAATGGGAACCAATTTGCTATATAAACTTTTATGCAAAACACTATAAAATATTATTTAAAAGAAATCAAATGCCTTGGTATTGACCCACAAGAAATACGAGCCATAACATGAGTAGATCTATGCACACCAATGTTCAGAGCAGCACTATTCACAATAGCAAAAAGATGGAGACAGCCTAAGTGTCCATCAGCTGAAGAATGGATAAACCAACTGTGGTACATACACACAATGGAATACTATGCTACCTTGAAGAATAACAAGGAAGCTGCAAGCCACCGCATAACATGGATGAACCTTGAGGACATTACGCTGAGAGAAATTAGTCAGCCT